AAAGAAAATTTTTAGGCTGGGCCGGGTGGCTCACGCCTATAATCCCAGCACTTTGGGAGGCCGAGGCGGATGGATCACAAGGTCAAGAGATCCAGACCATCCTGGTCAACAAGGTGAAACCCTGTCTCTACTAAAAATACAAAAATTAGCTGGGCATGGTGGTACGCACCTGTAGTCCCAGCTACTCGGGAGGCTGAGGCAGGAGAATTGCTTGAACCCAGGAGGCGGAGGTTGCGGTGAGCCAAGATCGTGCCATTGCACTCCAGTCTGGTTAACAACGTGAAACTCCGTCTCAAAAAAAAAAAAAAAAAGAAAAATTTTTAAGCATCTCATAGTAATAGTAATAGTAATGTATTAATATTAGCTTTTAAAAAAATTGGTTTGTGTATTTTATGTGCTTATACATTTTTCCATAGTACTGTAGATCATTTTAGTGATTAAATTTGACACTTTTGACAGAAAAACAGGTCAATGAGTTCCTTGGGATCAAAAAGGGGTTGATTGCAAATGGACAGGAGGGAATCGTAGAGTGATTCTACAGCTGTTCTGCATCTTGATTATGGTATGACTATGCATTTGTCAAATCCTTTTTTCTTTTTCTTTTTTTTTTTTTTTTTAAAAAGACGGGGTTTCACCATGTTGGTCAGGCTGGTCTTGAACTCCCAACCTCAGGTGATCCTCCTGCCTTGGCCTCCAAAGTGCTTGGATTACAGGCATGAACCACCACGCCCAGCTGCACTTGTCAAATCTTAACAGGATGAATTTTACTGAATGTAAAATCATATTTCAATAGAGATGACTTTATAAAAATAAAAAAAAAAAAGACTTTTATGGGAACCAACTTTTTTTCATTTAACATGTTACCATATATGTAAAACTTGGACAGTCTTCTTAAGGAGCCACAATCTTCATCTAAAATTAGTAATGGGCCTCCTGTGATTACAGGCTCACACCTGTAATCTCAACACTTTGGGAGGCTGAGGTGGGCAGATCGCTTAAGCTAAAAATACAAAAATTAGTCTGGCATGGTGGCACTGTGTCTGTAGTCCCAGCTACTCCAGGGGCTGAGGTGGGACGATTGCTTGAAGCCAGTAGGTGGAGGTTACAGTGAGTCCAGATCATGCCACTGCACTCTAGCCTGGGCAACAGAGGGAAACTCTGTTTCAGTTTAAAAAAAAAGAAAATGTACCCTGGTGGGAAAGTACCAGGTGATGCCTGACACTGAGTGTAAGTACTCTGTTTTCTTTTTTTTTTTTTTTTTAATATTATTTTAAAATTTTTGAGTGCTGTTTTCTTTACCACGTTTACCACCAGAGGGCACCAATCAGTCAAGTCAATCTACATACTATTAGGAAACAATATGAGAAAGCTGTAGGAAGCTGTTTCTAGCATTGCTTCTTTTAACGAATATGTTTTGAGCACTTAATATGTGCCAAACATTGGAGTAGCAGATACAGTGTTTTGGAATTTATAGTCTTGAGTACCTACTATGTGCCTGAGAGAAAACAGGCAGGGGATAGAAGGTAGGGTTCATTTGTAATTTTGTGATTACTCATTGTCTTCCTGTCCTTGGCCATGAGTCTCTTGAGAACAATTGCTTAGTGTCTACTTTGTGTCAGATGGTGTGCCTGTTGCTGAGGATTCAGGGATAAATAAGACCCAGTGGCAGTCTACTAATAAACAATGTCTTACTGGCTAGAATAAAAACACATGAGCTAGTTCTGTGGAATTCCAGTTCCTGTGACCTAAAAATAAAGACCCTTGATTGTAAAACTCATTAACACATTGAGCTGTGAACCTCCCAGCATAGAGGCATGCCCGAAATGGATGCTTAGTGAGTCTGTGAGTTGATATGAGCCTAGGAGGCTGCTTCTGGTCTGGGTGCCAAGTATACGTTCCAGTGGATTAGACTAGGGCTTCATCATCCTTCAGGTCAGGGTGGGGCTGTGATGACTTTTCAAGGCTGAAATGCTTTGAAGATGACGTTTCTGCCTGTTTATCTGCTCACAGCAGATATTGCTATTAAAGGTGTCAACATCATCTTTCACATTTCCAGGTCAGCAATCCTCTTGTCCCTAAATTGACTGGTACTGGAGGGAAAGCCAGATGGGACATAAACCATCATTTTGATATGAGGGGTTGCATTCACTAGGATACTCCCTCTTCTCTGAGGGGAGCTCTAATTCCAGTAGAGCTCAGTCTCAAGATTTGGACAGTAGGGTTGGCAGCTAGAAAAGGATGTTTTAAAACACTGAGAACTCATCTACAAGAAGAAAAAAAAGGTCAAAAAAAAGAGGGGGGTGTCTTCCTAAGTGTGGATCATGTAGAGTGACTCCCTTCCAAACAGTACAGTATAGAAAATGGGAAGGGAGGGGCAGAGTAAGTTTACAGTAGAGAGACGACACACTTCCTCATCCAGGCGATCAAGGTCAACATCAACATTGCTATGTTGCTATTTGTGTCCTTAATATGATGTGATGAAATGGCATTTTACCTCTGTGATCTTACCCTCAAAAACTTATAATCTCAGTCTAATCATGAGAAAAGCATCACAATCGCAATTGAGGGACAGTCTACAAAATACTTGACCAGTATTTTTCCAAAACTGTTAAGGTCATCAAAACAAAGTCTAAGAAACTCTTACAGTCAAGAGGAATCTAAGGAAACAGGAAAACTGAATGTAGTCTTGTATCCTGGATGAGATCCTGGAACAATGAAAGGTCATTAGGTAAAAATTAAGGAAGTATGAACTTCAGTTAATAGTAATGTATTAATATTAGCTCATTAATTGTAATACATGTGCTCTAATGTAAGATGTTAATAAAAGGGGAACTGGGTGCCAGGTATAGGGGACCTCTACTATCTTCAATTTTTCTATAAATCTAAAACTGTTGTTGGCTGGGTGCACTGGCTCATGCCAGTACTCCCAGCACTTTGGGAGGCTGAGGTGGGTGGATCACCTGAGGTCAGGGATTGGAGACCAGCCTGGCCAACATGGTGAAATCTTGTCTCTACTAAAAATACAAAAATTAGCTGGGTGTGGTGGTGCACGCCTGTAGTTCCAGCTACTTGGGAGGCTGAGGCAGAAGAATCGCTTGAACCCAGGAGGCAGAAGTTACAGTGAGCTGAGATCGCGCCACTGCACTCCAGCCTGGGTAACAGAGTGAGACTCTGTCTCAAAAAAAAAAGGATGAGCCTTGGCAACATCAAGATCCCTCCTTTACAATAAAATTAAAATTAAAAAATTAGTTAGGCATGCTGACATGCACCTGTGGTCCTGCTACTTGGGAGACTGAGGTTGCTGCTAGTGAGCTATAGTCACTCAATTGTACTCCAGCCTGGGCAACAGGCAACCCTGTCTCAATAAAAGGTGGGGTTGTGGTGGTATTCAGAATACTGCTATGCCTTAAAGTTTTTTCTTTCTTCCAAGTTCCTGTTTATAAATCAGTCACTATGCTAAATGCTTTACATACATTTAATCATTACAATGGCATGTGTTGGGTATAATTAATCTCCTTTTACAGCAGCTGATGAAACAGCGGGGTGTGGTGGCATGCACCTGTAGTCCTACTTGGGAGGCTGAGGTGGGAGAACCATTTGAACCTGGGAGGTGGAGGTTGCAGTGAGCCATGAGCACGCTGCTGAGCTGTGGCCTGGGCGACTGAGCGAGACCCTGTCTCAAACAAAACAAAACAAACTGATGAGACAGGGAGAAATAATGTGTGGAACTTAGGGTTGGAACCAAGATCTGTCTGATTCCGAAATTGTGTGTGTAGAACTCTCACAGTATTCTGGCTTTTCTAGGAAATGGTTTTCAAACAGTTGTCCTAGAACATGCCTTCCTAAGAGAAAGAAGTACTGTATTTTTTTTTTTTTTTTGAGACGGAGTTTCGCTCTTGTTACCCAGGCTGGAGTGCAATGGCGCGATCTCGGCTCACCACAACTTCTGCCTCCTGGGTTTAGGCAATTCTCCTGCCTCAGCCTCCCGAGTAGCTGGGATTACAGGCACACGCCACCATGCCCAGCTAATTTTTTGTATTTTTAGTAGAGACGGGGTTTCACCATGTTGACCAGAATGGTCTTGATCTCTTGACCTCGTGATCCACCCGCCTCGGCCTCCCAAAGTGCTGGGATTACAGGCTTGAGCCACAGCGCCCGGCCAGGAGTACTGTATTCTAAACCACGGAGACCAAAGACTTCCCACATCTCACTTTGGTTATGATTATCTCTAAAGTCCCTCAGTTCCAGGGTGGACATTCAAGCCAAAAGGACCTCTAAGGGGTCAAAGTTCAACCACAGTAGTTTATATTACAAATGGAGAAGGCGTAGGGCAGCCTGAGCACTTGCCCCAAATCACAATGAGAAGGGCTAGAGACCCAGTTTGTGATTGTCTCTTTTTCCTCACAACTTCCTCTTTGTAGTCAAGAAGGGAAGCAGAAGCTGACCTTTCTGTCTTCCCCTGTTTCTCACGTGGAACTGCCGCACCCAGGGTGGGTAACGTGTCCAAGGACAAACTTGCCCGTGGGCTGGCCTGCGCGAAGGTCTGTTCCCACCGATAAGACCCACATTCTCAGCACATCCTAATCAAGTAGCTACTAAGTGGAGGGACCGCAGACTGGGTGTCACCGGGAGGGGCCTACAGCGAGCAGGGCCAGTTCCAGGATGGCTGTGGAGGTCCTGGATCCACAGGGGGAAGGGCGCCGAGAGCCGGGGGACCTGGGTTCCTTTCTGGGACACGCCTTTGGAACTGCAGTGTCCAGCCGTACAACAGTCACCCTGCGCCCACCCTCAGACCCCGCTGCCTCTGGGCTCTTTATAGGCGGGGGACACGCGCCGGCGTCACAAAGCGCCGCGACCGCGCGGGAGGCTGAGAGGAGGCGTGGAAGCGGGAGGAGAAGGAGGAGTAGGTGGTGGAGGAGGGCGAAGACCCGGGGGAGGTGGGGGAGGGAGGGGCGCGCGCACGCGCGTCGGGCCGCCAGCCGCCAAGAGCCGCCCTCCTCTCGGCGTGCGCTCCTCCTCCCTCTCTCTCGCTCCCTCCCTCCCTGCTTCTCGGCTCTGTCGCTCCCGCGGCGCGAGGCGCTCTAGCTTTCCTCCTCCGCCGCCGCCCCTCCCCCCGCGCAGCCGCCGCCGCCACCGCCGCGAGACCCCCCTCACGCCGCGCTCCCCCCACCCCCTCCAGCCCCGTGCGCCCTCCGGCCCCTGCGGCCTCCGAAGAGAACGAGAGGGCGAGCGAGCGCGGCGTTACCGGGCTGGCCCGGCCCCCTCCCTTCACCATCGCCGGCCCTCCGCCGCCTTCCTCCGCTTCCACCTCCTCTCCCCCCCCTCAAGTTGAGGCCCCCTCCGGGGGGGGGAGGCCCGGGAACGGGACCGGGAGCGAATTCTCCTAACTCCTTCGACCCCTCCTCTCGCCCGGCCTAAGTGTGAGGGGAAGAGCCCGGCCCGGCCAGCGTCGTGTGTGAGGACGACCCCGGGCGGGCCCACGGGCCGCGTAGGGCCTGGTCCGGCCCGCCGGGTGTGTGAAGACCCGGGTCCGGTGCGGTCCGGCCCGAGGGCGAGCGGAGGGGAGGGGCCTGGTTCGGCCCGGCCGGTGCGTGAGGACTGGGGCCCGGGCCCGGCGCCGCCGCCGCCGCCGAGATGGCCCAGCAGCAGATGACCAGCTCGCAGAAGGCCCTGATGCTCGAGCTGAAATCCCTGCAGGAGGAACCGGTGGAGGGCTTCCGGATCACCCTGGTGGATGAGTCCGACCTCTACAACTGGGAGGTGGCCATCTTCGGGCCCCCCAACACCCTCTACGAAGGCGGCTACTTCAAGGTACCCCCCCCCTCCCGGATTCGGCCTCCGCGGCCGAGGCCTCAGCTCTCCGCAGCTTTTGGCCGTTCCTGGGGCCAGTAGTGTGAGCACGGGCGAGTGGAGGGGGCTCCTCACCTCGGCAGCCCCCTCCCCCATCCGTGGAGGCAGGAAGGCCTTGCTCGCCGAGTGCCTTTTCTTTGTCATGGGGGCGGGGGCGGGAGGGCCGGCTGCACCGGGAAATGGGAGAGCCTCTCTGGTTAGGGTAGTGGTTACGGGCGGAGGAGGCCGTCTTTGTTTCCCTGGCTGAGGGTGGATGAAGAGCGGTGGTCTGTCTGTGCTTTCTCGTCCTCCCATCGAAACCCTCCCTGTGCAGGCTGGAACTGCCCCAGAGGGCAGGGTGACCTGCACCGACAGGATTGGACTTTTTCTTTTTTGGGGGGGTGGGGGTGGAGTGGGGGAGGGGTACCAGCCTGTCATTCCATTAGCTGCCTAGTGCCCTGACATTTTGAGGATTTGCTGGGCTTCTTGGGTAGTGGTAGTGCCAACTTTGCATTCCAGTGGGCGGTGGTGAATAGGACCCTAGGGGTGGCTAAAAAAGAAAAAAAGGGTGCCCGCGTCGTCTTTCCATTATCCATTTAGTGAACTTTTAATTTAGCCCTCTTTCCATTCCCATTCTCTGCTTACCTCAGTCACTGGTTCTTTCAAAATGCCCTTTGTCCTCACCGTGCCACCAAGTTTGCCAAGCTTTTTTTCTACAGGTAGAAATATCCACAGAGGGTGGAACGAGTCACGTAGGGAGATTGATAGCTTCCCACTTTTAGAGACAAAATTGAAACCTGCTCAAGTGGTTAACTGTAGGTAAAGGGGTAGTCTCGCAGATGACAAGTATCATTTGAGGTGAGATGGCTTCTCTGGGTGGGACGTTTGGTTCCGTAGCGACCACAGACATTGTTTCTATTGTTTTATATGGTTTTAGAACAGCGGTCATCATTCCAGAATCCAGTGGTTTTTTTTGTTTGTTTGTTTTTTTTTAACTCCAAGGTAGATAACTTGGAGATAATGAGTGTTTGTTTTGTTTTTATTTGCGTGTTTTTGCAGGGACTAATCACAGATTGAAAGTTTGAATGTTTTAAATGATGGGGGCAGAGACAGAGGAAATGAGTGCTTAGGAATCCATTTAGTTTTATTTTTTTATTTCCAAAATTAAGTAAAATAGGCCAGTGAGTCAATTTTAGTTTGGAAGGGAGGGGTTATCTTGGCACAAGTTTTAAATGAGTATCTTAGTCATGTAGTTGTGATGTGTATTTTTAGGACTACCCAATTACTTAACTCTTGTTTTCTACTCTTCTAAAGGTGGAAACCTCAGTTTTAGGCTTGAAATTAGGTCAACTTTATAGAAGATGGGATTGATACTGCAATGTTTAATATTCACTCCTGTGATAGTCACTGAATACCTAGGTAAAGCACGTTTTTAGAATATTATGTAAGAGTGGTACCCCTACCGACTGTTAGGCTTCATCTTTTGTGGTCAGCCTACACTATATTTTAAATATGCAGATATTTAAAATTACTAAGAAAACATACAGGTTATTAGCAACAAAGTGGAAACGGTATTGCTGTGTTTATGCTGAAGCATAAACATAAATTTTTATTTAGGCATACTGGAAAAATTAGTTGTACAAAATAAAATATATGTGATGCCTTTTTTAACAAAGCATTGTTAGCAACATCTGCTGGCTAATGTTATTGGAATAAAGTTTAATTTTCAAAAAGTGTCATTGTTTGGTACAACCGATATTTAAAGTAAGTGAGTACTAGTTTGAATAGTTTCACTCCAATACAGTTAAAAACAACAGCAAAAAAAAAAAAAATTGTATACGAGAGAAAATAATGGATTGCAAATTGTAATATTTGTGCGTAAGTCTGGAATGTGGAGAACCCTCTCTGTTTGAAATAGGTAGTATGGAAGGGATTCCCTGTGTTCATACACTGATTTAAATTAAATGCTTCTGAACTTCAGTCCTTGTTTAGAAAGAATGATATAATCTCCTACTTTGCATTTAGATTTCTTAAGTTTTGAATGTTTTTACCTTTAATTCTGTCATGTATAAAAATTTGTAAACACGAGAAGTTTGTTCAATTTTATCTTCTACTACTTTTTTCCTTGTTATATGGTCTTTTATCCCATGAGTTCTTTATCAGAAAAAGGCTAATTTATGGTCATGAGCAGTTAACACTGGGGATATGCTTAAAAGCATTGTTTTTATTTCACTGCTTTTGTCTTAAGACAAGGCTTTTAGTGTGTTTCACTACAGCTGCAGTTAAAAGTTGACACAAAGCTTTCCCACCATACCATTCTTCTTCTCCCTTATGAAATGTTAGTCATTGAACATTTAGTATAATTTATTTTCAAGTTAAACTCTTTTCCCTTTTTGGCATAGTCATTTCTGAAGGCAACAGGATTGCCAGTCATTCTTTACATTTTTTATACTGTAACTCCTTTAATTTTTACATATTAATAGGTTTCAAACTGATCTTTTTCACCCTGAAATAGTGGGCTCTTGTCTCTTAACCACAGGATCTGCATTGGAGATTCACGAGACTTGTATTTCACAGAATTTTTTGATTGATCCTGCTTTTGCTTATTTGATATCTCCAATCTGTGTGATTCTTAGCTTTGGGCCATATAGATATAGGATGGGCAAAGATAGTTTCTTCTTTCCATTCTGCATACTGTACAATCTTTTTTGGCCTTGCTGTCTTTCTGTCTAGTTTCTTATGTTGCTACCCTGGAGCATACTGGAATTTTATTATGTTACTAGAAAAATAAATTGTTGATCAAGTCAGTAGCCAATGAAGACTTTTAACAAGTTCACTCCCTTTCTTTTGAAAGGAACTTTTTTCAGGCTCTTGTTCTGTCACCCAGTTTGGGGTACAGTGGTGTGATCATGGCTCACTGCAGCTTCCACCTCCTACGCTTAAGCAATCCTCCCACGTCAGCTTCCTGAGTAGCTGGGACTATAATATCTGTTAAGTGATGCGGGGTCTCACTATGTTGTCCAGGCTGGTTTTAAACTCCTGGGTTCAAGAAATCCTCCTTTCTCAGCCACTCAAAGTGCTGGGTTTACAGGTGTGAGCCACCATGCCCGGCTGGAACTATCTTTTCAAATAGCTCCTGCTAAGGACTGTAGCGTAATGTGGGTGCTTGAGTATTGAACCTCCTTGGAACTTTTGTATTATTTAATCTAAAGCATTATAGCAGTGAGTCTAGAGTCAGAAAGAGTACCTTCGTTACGATATGTTAACAAAAATTTAAATGATACAGAAAGCTTAAAGTTTGCAGTTACCTTTTTATAGTTTTTTTTTTTTTTTTTTTGAGATGTATCACTTGTTGCCCAGGCTGAAGTACAGTGGCGCCTTCTCAGCTCACTGCAACCTCCACTTCCTGTGTTCAAGTGATTCTGCTGCCTCAGCCTCCTGAGTAGCTGGGATTACAGGCTTGCACGATAACACCTGGCTAATTCTTTTTGTATTTTTGGTAGAGACAGGGTTTTGTCATGCTGGCCAGGCTGGTCTTGAACTCCTGACCTCAAGTGATCTGCCTCCCTCAGTCTCCTTACTAGGAACACCTTTGTTAGACCTAACACTGACTTTTGTATTTTATTTTCTTTTTTTTTTTTTGAGACTGAGTTTCGCTCTTGTTACCCAGGCTGGAGTGCAATGGCGTGATCTCGGCTCACTGCAACCTCCGCCTCCTGGGTTCAGGCAATTCTCCTGCCTCAGCCTCCTGAGTAGCTGGGATTATAGGCACCCGCCACCATGCCCAGCTAATTTTTGCATTTTTAGTAGAGACGGGGTTTCACCATGTTGACCAGGATGGTCTCGATCTCTTGACCTCGTGATCCACCCGCCTTGGCCTCCCAAAGTGCTGGGATTACAGGCGTGAGCCACCGCGCCTGGCCCTTCTTTTTTTTTTTTTTTTTTTTTTGAGACTGACTTTCACTCTTGTTGCCCAGGCCAGAGTGCAATGGCACCATCTCAGTTCACTGAAACCTCTGCCTCCTGAGTCAAGTGATTTTCCTGCCTCGGCCTCCCCAGTAGCTGGGATTACAGGCATGTGCCACCATGCCCAGCTAATTTTGTATTTTATTTTATTTCATTATTGTTGTTGTTGTTATTATTATTTTTGAGACAGTTTCACTCTTGTTATCCAGGCTGGAGTGCAATGGCGCGATCTCGGCTCACCGCAACCTCCGCCTCTTGGGTTCAGGCAATTCTCCTGCCTCAGCCTCCTGAGTAGCTGGGATTACAGGCACGCGCCACCATGCCCAGCTAATTTTTTGTATTTTTAGTAGAGACGGGGTTTCACCATGTTGACCAGGATGGTCTCGATATCTTGACCTTGTGATCTACCCGCCTCGGCCTCCCGAAGTGCTGGGATTACAGGAGTGAGCCACCACGCCCGGCTGTTATTATTTTTGAGATGGAGGTTCACTGTTGTCAACCAGGCTGGAGTGCAGTGGCACGATCTTGGCTCACTTCAAACTCCACCTCCCGGGTTTCAGGGATTCTCCTGTCTCAGCCTCTTGAGAAGCTGGGATTACAGGCACAAGCTACCATGTCCAGTTGATTTTTGTATTTTTAGTAGAGATAGGATTTTGTGGCTAACCTGGTCTTGAACTCCTGACCTCAGGTGATCCACCTGCCTCAGCCCCAAAAAGTGCTGGGATTACAGGCATGAGCCACCGTGCCCGGCCTAGTTTTGTATTTTTAGTAGAGACAGGGTTTCTCCATCTTGGTCAGGCTGGTCTCGAACTCCCAAGCTCAGGTGATTTGCCTGCCTCAGCCTCCCAAAGTGTTGGGATTACAAGTGTGAGCCACCACGCCTGGCCTACACTGAACTATGTTAAGGAAACTCTTCAAAACTTTTTTTTTTTTAAAAGAGATAGAGTCTCACTCTGTTCCCCAGGCTGGCGTGCAAAGATGTGATCATAGCTCACTACAGCCTGAAACACTTGGGC